CCCTGGATCGAACCCGGATCTGTAGTGACGCCTCTAGCACTGTGATGCAATGCCTTAGACCGCTGCGCCACTCGGGAGGCCTCAATAATTATTCTTAATTTTTGTTTATTTCCTCAGTTTCAAGGCAAATCCATTTTCTCTCAAAGGGAGAAAAGTTATGGAGAGTTTTAATTTAAAATGTATTTTATGATGCAGTCATCTGACTGACTTGACAAAACCACATCTGAAGTTGCTATTGCCCAATCCAATCAGATAAACAGATTACTTTATGTTCATTGAAATGCGAATACATTTGCGATGTAAGCCTCCTGTAGCTCAGTTGGTAGAGCATGGCGCTTGCGATGCCAGGGTTGTGGGTTTGATTCCCACGTGGGGCCAGTATGAAAAATAAAAAAATAATGTATGCACTCACTAACTGTAAGTCGCTCTGGATAAGAGCGTCTGCTAAATTACTAAAATGTAAAAATGTAGCATGCTTGCAGGGAAGGTGTTACCTAACCACATTTGCATGTCTAAAGCAGAGGACAATGCTACCCGCCGAAAGGACACTCCTGAAGTGATGCTTCTAGGACCATGAACTGCTGGTCTGAAGATTGTCTACAGTGACTACAGCGCTGGCCGTCTGGTTTAGAACACTTCTGCCTGATCCAGAATCAGGTGTGTTCAAGGGAGGATTATGTAGGGCAGCCCCTGAAGAGACTCTTTACACTGTATGCAAGAATTTCCTTTGTGTGGTCTCAGGCATGCTGCATTATCTCACCGACCCCCTCTTATCACACCTCTGGTTAGCAGAGATTCTGTGGTCGTTACATCCTGTAGGTCTGATGTCTGATTGGAAGTTGACCAATAGCATTACTGTTAAGTTAACAGCTCAGATTTTGAATCCAAAACAACTCAGATGCTTATAAAAATGGGTCTTAGCTTTATTGTCCTTCTCTTTCTTTGTTCCCGACCTGCGCTGGTGAGATACACTCTCTTTCGCTCTCCACCCAATGGACTCTTCGGGCATGGCCTTTCAAGCTATGACTTCTCTCTGATTTTACATTTACATTTTAGTCATTTAGCAGACGCTCTTATCCAGAGCGACTTACAGTTAGTGAGTGCATACATTATTTTTTTATTTTTCATACTGGCCCCACGTGGGAATCAAACCCACAACCCTGGCGTTGCAAACGCCATGCTCTATCAACTGAGCTACATCCCTGCCGGCCATTCCCTCCCCTACCCTGGACGACGCTGGGCCAATTGTGCGCCGCCCATGAGTCTCCCGGTCGCGGCCGGCTGCGACAGAGCCTGGATTCGAACCAGGATCTCTAGTGGCACAGTTAGCACTGCGATGCAGTGCCTTAGACCACTGCACCACTCATGCCAAGAATAATGCTTTGTAATGCTTAATTCTTGTAACTTAATCCTTGTACATTGTTATCATTCATTTTACAATGTTAATTAAATACACTTGCATTTAGAATTCCATTATCAGACCTTTCTTGATAGCCAATTCCTGTAACTCAGCTCTCTTGCATACAGTGCCTTTCAAAAGTATTCATTCCCCTTGGCGTTTTTTTTATTTGGTTGCATTACAACCTGTAATTTAAATGGATTTTTATTTGGATCTCATGTAATGGACATACACAAAATAGTCCAAATTGGTGAAGTGAAATGAAAAATATAACTTGTTTCAAAAAATGCTAAAAAATAAATAATGTAAAAGTGCTGCGTGCGTATGTATTCACCGCCTTTGCGCCTTTGCTATGAAGCCCCTAAATAAGATCTGGTGCAACCAATTACCTTCAGAAGTCACATAATTAGTTAAATAAAGTCCACCTGTGTGCAATCTAAGTGTCACATGATCTCAGTATATATACACCTGTTCTGAAAGGCCCCAGAGTCTGCAACACCACTAAGCAAGGGGCACCACCAAGCAAGCGGCACCATGAAGACCAAGGAGCTCTCCAACTGCCAAGAGAGGGCCGCCCACCAGATCAGGGACAAAGTTGTGGAGAAGTACAGATCAGGGTTGGGTTATAAAAAAATATCATAAACTTTGAACATCCCACGGAGCACCATTTAAATTCATTATTAAAAAATGGAAAGAATATGGCACCACAACAAACCTGCCAAGAGAGGGCCGCCCACCAAAACTCACTGACCAGGCAAGGACGGCATTAATCAGAGAGGCGACAAAGAGACCAAAGATAACCCTGAAGGAGCTGCAAAGCTCCACATCGGAGATTGGAGTATCTGTCCATAGGACCTTCTTTAAGCCGTACACTCCACAAAGCTGGGCTTTACGAAAGAGTGGCGAGAAAAAAGCCATTGCTTAAAGGAAAAAATAAGCAAACACGTTTGGTGTTTGCCAAAAGCCATGTGGGAGACTCCCCAAACATATGGAAGAAGGTACTCTTGTCATACGAGACTAAAATTGAGGTTTTTGGCCATCAAGGAAAATGCTATGTCTGGCGCAAACCCAACACCTCTCATCACCCCGAGAACACCATCCCCACAGCGAAGTATGGTGGTGGCAGCATCATGCTGTGGGGAAGTTCTTCCATCGTGCAGGGACTGGGAAACTGTTCAGAATTGAAGGAATGATGGATGGCGCTAAATACAGGGTAATTCTTGAGGGAAACCTGTTTCAGTCTTCCAGAGATTTGAGACTGGGACGGAGGTTCACCTTCCAGCAGGACAATGACCCTAAGCATACTGCTAAAGCAACACTCGAGTGGTTTATGGGGAAACATTTAAATGTCTTGGAATGGCCTAGTCAAAGCCCAGACCTCAATCCAATTGAGAATCTGTGGTATGACTTAAAGATCGCTGTACACCAGCGGAACCCATCCAACCTGAAGGAGCTGGAGCAGTTGAAGAATGGGCAAAAATCCAAGTGGCTAGATGTGCCAAGCTTATAAAGACATACCCCAAGAGACTTGCAGCTGTAATTGCTGCAAAAGGTGGCTCTACAAAGTATTGACTTTGGGGGTGAATAGTTATGCACGCTCAACTTTTCAGTTTTTTTGTCTTATTTCTTGTTTGTTTCACAATAAAAAATGTTTTGCACCTTCAAAGTGGTAGGCATGTTGTGTAAATCAAATGATACAACCCCCCAAAAAATCAATTTAAATTCCAGGTTGTAAGGCAACAAAATAGGACAAATGCCAAGGGGGGTGAATGCTTTCGCAAGCCACTGTACTGGTGAAATAAGCTACCAGTAACAATATCAAATGGAAATACTTTACCTTAAGTTGTCCTTAAACCTACGTTACTGCACAGTCATAACTGTACTTGTAGGTACACAGGAATAGCTATGTAATTACATGGTAATATAGTTTAGGCTATAGGTTATTATACAAGTGGATTCCCAGGGTTGATAGGATGTTTAGCTAAAGATATTAATAGGCTGGGACCAGGTAAAAAACATTCTAACAAAACAAAGTATAGAATTCACTTCATATCTCTCTCGCACTTGTATAATAACTAGGGCCCTACACGTTGCATGACCAAATGAAGCACTGTGCTTTAAACTGTATTTGGAGCAATTTCCAGTAGAAAATCCTAGGGGGGGGGGGGGGGGGTCAAACCGTTCTCTCTGCTACCGCACAGCAAGCAGTACCGATGTACCAAGTCTGGAACCAACAGGACCCTGAACAGTTTCTACCCCCAAGCCATAACTGCTAAATAGTTAACCCTATAGCTACCCGGACTATTGGCATTTACCCCCCTTTGCACTAACTCTTTTGACTCATCACATACGCTGCTGCTACTGCTTATTATCTACGCTGTTGCTTAGTGACAAATAAAATTTGATTTGAAATGTTCCAATTATTCTATTAATTTCTGGTTGTGTGCACATTTTGGCAGGGGGAAATCGCCTGCGCAAGGGGAGGCATAGCTTTGCAAATCTTGATTGCACAATGCGTATTATTTGTCAAGGAAGAATATTTCTAGATACATTTTTCTACACCTCACTTCGCTCAAGCTGATCCTCTTCAAGTCATACAAATTGGGCAATTAGTTGCAGTTAACAGTGTTGGAAAGTGTTTAATCATTTTGAGTTTAAAAAGATAACTGGATTTGTGTCAGACAATGCAAGCTTCATGGTCAAAGCATACAATTACATTCTGCAGGGGTTGTTGGCAAATTCATTTGACATGCAATGCCCACATCGTGGCCCTTGCCAGTAATTGCTGGCAAAATAATTTCCCAGAGGTCTACAAGCTTGTTGCAACCATCAAGAAAATAAGCATTACCCAGGCAGAAAGACCAGATACAAAAGGCATCTCAAAGATACAGAAACAGATTCCCCTCAGCAGGTAATTCTGCCTCCCGAGCCATGTACAACCCGATGGGGTATGTGGTACAAAGCTGTCACATACCATTCAGAGTACCTGTGCTTTCACGTGCGCTTTGTGGAGGCAAAGAAGCAGATCTCTCCAAATACTGTGGTCTTAACAGACTTCGAGAAGTTGTTAGTTAACTGTGAGGGTTTGCAGAAACAACTTTATCTTATTTCAAAGAGCCTAATAGACCTCATCCAGAGGTTTGAGAGCCACAAATCCAGAATTCACCTCACCTAGAATAAAGTCAATACACTAATACAGGAATACCAATCATTGGCACATCCAGTACACAGCACAGACCAGACCGTTAACCGTAATTGTGTGGATACATATATTTAGGTCATAGATAAATTCAACTCACATTACAACCCAGATCGGTCCAAAAAATAAGTTTGTTTCAATCAACCAGCTCACCAATTTACCAAGGCAATAAGCGGTCAGTTTGAAAGTAAGCACCCTCCCGTTATCTTCTATCCCTGTTTTCAACAAAGAATGTTACACAGGAGTGGATCAATACACGCACCATGCAAAAGAAAAGGGTAGCGAAATTAGATTGAATGAATTCTGAAAAACGTATGGTTATTTCCTAATGTGACCAAAATAGCTAAACTACAGTATATCTTTCCATTCCTAACAATTCTGCAGCAGCAGGTAAGTGTTTCTTCATGCGTAGAAGTCTTTACTCACCAATGGCAATCGCTATAAGAAGAAGCTATGAAACGATTAACAACGCAAATTCAACAGCAATGTGCTGACCTAAGTGATATTGTTATTTATTTTGATGTTTTTGATGTTCTATATTGTTATGTAAGGGTGAGATTGTTTCCCCTGCATTCGCTATTTCCTCTGCATTAAGTTTTTACATGTATTTCTATGTCTAGCAAATGACAATACTAATTATTTTCATCAAGTGTGGAGAATAAATCGTGAATAGCTTAGTTTATGTTCTGAAACACTTTTTTCCTAAATTTTCTTAGATAAAATGCCTATTATTCCCATATAATGTTGAGAACAGACAATGAATAAGGTAGTGAAATATTTATGTTGATAGTGTCCTTGAGATAGCCAAATAATTCAACAAGCACAGCACTTACACAAATGACTGATGATTGGCTGAGAGAAATTGATGATGAAAAGATTGTGTGGGCGGTTTTGTTAGACTTCAGTGCAGCTTTTGACATTATCGATCATAGTCTGCTGCTGGAAAAACGTATGTGTTATGGCTTTACACCCCTGCTACTGTATATAAAGAGTTACCTGTCTAACAGAACACAGAGGGTGTTCTTTAATGGAAGCCTCTCCAACATAATCCAGGTAGAATCAGGAATTCCCCAGGGAAAATGTCTTTACTAACGAGTAAAGCCAGTGTGTCTATGTTTGCAGATGACTCAACACTATACACATAAGCTACTACAGTGACTGAAATGACTGCAACACTTAACAAAGAGCTGCAGTTAGTTTCAGAATGGGTGGCAAGGAATAAGTTAGTCCTAAATATTTCGAAGACTAAAAGCATTGTATTTGGGACAAATCATTCACTAAACCTCAACTAAATCTTGTAATGAATAATGTGGAAATTGAGCAAGTTGAGGTGACTAAAGTAACCATTGATTGTAAACTGTCATGGTCAAAACATATTGATAGAACAGTAGCTAAGATTGGGAGAAGTCTGTCCATAATAAAGCGCTGCTCTGCCTTCTTAACACTATCAAGCAGGCAGGTCCTACAGGCCCTAGTTTTGTCGTACCTGGACTACTGTTCAGTCGTGTGGTCAGGTGCCACAAAGAGGGACTTGGCTCAGAACAGGGCAGCACGGCTGACCCTTGGATGTACACAGAGAGCTAACATTAATGATACGAATGTAAATCTCTCATGGCTCAAAGTGGAAGAGAGATTGACTTCATCACTACTTGTTTTTGTAAGAAGTGTTCACAAGCTGAATGTACCGAGCTGTCTGTTTAAAATACTAGCACACAGCTCGGAAACCCATGCAAACCCCACAAGACATGCCACCAGAGGTCTCTTCACAATCCCCAAGTCCAGAACAGACTATGGGAGGCGCACAGTACTACATAGTAGTTTAAACTCTATTCCACATCAGGTGGAATGCAATATTTAAAAAAAACAGGTATAAATACACTGTATGGAACAGCGGGGACTGTGAAGACACACACAAAAGGTACAGAGACACACATACGCACAAAAGTGCTAGCGCTAGCACACACACTCTACACACACGTACATTGTAATATTGTTGTATGGTGGTATTGTACATTTTGTATTGTAGATACAGTGAGGGAAAAAAGTATTTGATCCCCTGCTGATTTTGTAAGTTTGCCCACTGACAAAGAAATGATCAGTCTATAATGTTAATGGTAGGTTTATTTGAACAGTGAGAGACAGAATATCGAAAAAAAGAAAAACGCATGTCAAAATGTTATATTGATTTGCATTTTAATGAGGGAAATAAGTATTTGACCCCCTCTCAATCAGAAAGATTTCTGGCTCCCACCACAGGTAATGAGCTGAGATAAGGAGCACACTCTTAAAGGGAGTGCTCCTAATCTCAGTTTGTTACCTGTATAAAAGACACCTGTCCACAGAAGCAATCAATCAATCAGATTCCAAACTCTCCACCATGACCAAGACCAAAGAGCTCTCCAAGGAAGTCAGGGACAAGATTGTAGACCTAAACAAGGCTGGAATGGGTTACAAGACCATCGCCAAGCAGCTTGGTGAGAAGGTGACAACAGTTGGTGTGATTCCATCGCAAATGGAAGAAACACAAAATAACTGTCAATCTCCCTCGGCCTGGGGCTCCGTGCAAGATCTCACCTCGTGGAGTTGCAATCATCATGAGAACGGTGAGGAATCAGCCCAGAACTACACGGGAGGATCTTGTCAATGATCTCAAGGCAGCTGGGACCATAGTCACCAAGAAAACAATTGGTAACACACTACGCCGTGAACGACTGAAATCCTGCAGCGCCCGCAAGGTCCCCCTGCTCAAGAAAGCACATATACATGCCCGTCTGAAGTTTGCCAGTGAACATCTGAATGATTCAGAGGAGAACTGGGTGAAAGTGTTGTGGTCAGATGAGACCAAAATGGAGCTCTTTGGCATCAACTCAACTCGCCGTGTTTGGAGGAGGAGGAATGCTGCCTATGACCCCAAGAACACCATCCCCACCGTCAAACATGGAGGTGGAAACATTATGCTTTGGGAGTGTTTTTCTGCTAAGGGGACAGGACAACTTCACTGCATCAAAGGGACGATGGACGGGGCCATGTACCGTCAAATCTTGGGTGAGAACCTCCTTCCCTCAGCCAGGGCATTGAAAATGGGTCGTGGATGGGTATTCCAGCATGACAATGACCCAAAACACACGGCCAAGGCAACAAAGGAGTGGCTCAAGAAGAAGCACATTGAGGTCCTGGAGTGGCCTAGCCAGTCTCCAGACCTTAATCCCATAGAAAATCTGTGGAGGGAGCTGAAGGTTCGAGTTGCCAAACGTCAGGCTCGAAACCTTCTGCAAAGAGGAGTGGGACAAAATCCCTCCTGAGATGTGTGCAAACCTGGTGGCCAACTATAAGAAACGTCTGACATCTGTGATTGCCAACAAGGGTTTTGCCACCAAGTACTAAATCATGTTTTGCAGAGGGGTCAAATACTTATTTCCCTCATTAAAATGCAAATCAATTTATAACATTTTTGACATGCGTTTTTCTGGATTTTTTTGTTGTTATTCTGTCTCTCACTGTTCAAATAAACCTACCATTAAAATTATAGACTGATCATTTCTTTGTCAGTGGGCAAATGTACAAAATCAGCAGGGGATCAAATACTTTTTTCCCTCACTGTATGTTGTGGTGTAATAATGTTATATGATGTACTGTTTTATCTTTTGTTTTATATGTAATGTAAGTGCTTTAATATGTTTGGACTCCAGGAAGAGTAGCTGCTGCCTTGGCAACAGCTAATGGGGATCCCTAATAAATACAAATGACAACAGTGCTGATAGTGTCGGCAGACATATTTAAAGTCAATCCACATGGTTGGTTACTTATTTTGTACTTTTTTTCTTTTTTTAAATCTTTATTTTAACAGGGAAAAACAGACTGAGACCTGGATCTCTTTTACGGCTGTGCCCTGTGTAAACATGTTGACATGTAGAGTTTTAGACATACAGACAAGAACATTTCAAACATACAAAACAAAAACACAATTCAACAGAAACAAATCACAGACAACATCATATTGATCCTCCATAACATTTTTTTAAATGGGCAAGAGACACCAGAGTGTCTAACTTAAGTTGTGTCATGTGTTGCAGTGTGTGCAAACCTGGTCAAGACCTACAGGAAACATATGATCTCTGTAATTGCAAACACAGGTTTCTGTACCAAATATTAAGTTCTGCTTTTCTGATGTATCAAATACTTATGTCATGCAATAAAATGCAAATGAATTACTTAAAAATCATACAATGTGATTTTCTGGATTTTTGTTTTAGATTCAGTCTCTCACAGTTGAAGTGTACCTATGATAAAAATTACAGACCCCTACATGCTTTGTAAGTAGGAAAACCTGCAAAATCGGCAGTGTATCAAATACTTGTTCTCCCCACGGTATCTAGTTGAAATTAATGATGATATATATGGAGGTAGTTTTAAAAGAAGTGCTTTATAAATAAACAAGAGAGCATGTTGCTCTCGCCTCACAGATAGAGAGGCCCAACCCACATGTTGATATAGGAAACAGTGATGAGTTTTGTAACTATCACCCGTGATAAACCTGAGTGCAAAATGGTAAATAGCATCCAGTGGTTTTAATGTGTTTACCGATGCATGCATATAGATAATATCACCATAATCTAAAACGGACATAAAAGTAGCCTGCACAATTTGTTTTCTATTTACGGAGGACAGACAAGCCCTGTTTCTGTAAAGGAACCCTATCTTGAATTTGAGCTTTTTTCCCAATTCAGTAACATGTTTTTTTAAAAGAAAGCCTATCATCTAACCATACCCCTAAGTATTTATATGCAGAGACCTGTTTGATATTTCCTGTGCTTAATGTTAGATTAAAAATGTGTGTCACTGAACCAGCAATGATAGGTGCAGCACACTTAAGTAAGTACGGGTCTAAATTGTCAGCGCCTAAGGATTTCTTAGTATCAATGGCACACAGGGCAGCTAGAACCTCTGCTTCAGTTATTATCTGGAAACTAAAAACAGGGTTACCATTTTTCAGAGTAACGGTTGAAAAGCAAGACGAAAAATCAACTAACTGGCCAGTACCACAATGGCCACTTTTCTTTTCAAATAAAAAACCAGCAGAGATGAAACGCTTATTAAAAGCATCACAAATATCATTTTTTTCACTTAGAATACAGGAGTCTGAGATAATTTGCTTAGGAAGAAAAACAGCAGAATTCCCCCGTTTCAGTGAATTAACGGTTTTCCAGAATTTTGCAGGATCTCCTGCTGAATCTGTCATAGCATTAAGGAAGTCATTTGATTTTGCCTTTTTGACAGCTGCAGTACATTTATTTCTCAATTGCCTAAAAAACAGCCAATCAGCTGGAGTACCTGTTTTCCTCGCCAAGGCCCAGGCCCGATTCTTTTGCAGAAAAAGACCTGACAATTCAGGAGAGAACCAAGAACTGGTTCGGTTTCTTACTCTGTGATTCTTAAGCGGGCATGTTTATCAGACATAGAGGTAACAATAGAAGAGAAAAAGCAAGGGCTAAAACCGGGTCCAGAAAGCAGCAAGTGGATAAAAGCTCAGAGTGATATAAGTCAAGGATAAAAGCTTGCTGTGAGAAATGTTTATACAGCAATCAGAGTGTTTCAGCCTGGTATCTCTAATACAAGCAATAGAGCAGTGGTCACTGATATCATTTGAAAAAACCCCACTGGCTGTGTATTTATGGGGGGTATTTGTTAGAATAATGTCTAGTAGAGTAGATTTTACTGGATTCTTAAAGTTGGGACGGGTTGGTTTAGTTATCAGCTGAGTTAGATTTAGCTCAGTACAAATATATTTTAATTTATCGGATACTGGTGAAATCCAGGTTAAAATCTCCCAAAATCAGTAATTCAGAGTTTGCATAATTAGACAGTATATCAGATCATTTGCATAGAGTACAAGGAGGAGCTGAGGGGGGGGGGCAATATACCCCTGCTAGAGTTAAATGAGCATTATTGCCAAGTACCACATTTAAAACTAGACATTCATATTGCTTTGGGACAGAGGTTGATATGGACACAGAAACATTTAAGCAGCATTTTACATAAATCGCAATACCACCACCTCTACCAACTCTATCAGCTCTATAAATATTGTACCCAATCAACTGAACATCTGAATCAGGCACAGAATCACACAGCCACGATTCAGATACAATCAGCACGTCAACATTTGATTGTGAGACCAAAATTTCAATAAAGTCCAACTTTTGGATCAGGCTTCTAGCATTCAAATGAATTATTCCAATGCCATTGCTACGGGAATTCATATCAGATGGAGTATCCAAGGTAGCACCTGAAGCTGCACTGAATGAGCAATAAACCATTTTCGGGCTATTGACAGAGCTCCATTTTATGGGGACAAGATTACTACTAACAATACCTCTCTGCATGTAAGTAGTATTCGCAATACGGTGATTGGACAATAATCTAGGAATTGCAGAAAGGTTGTTAGCGGAAGTTTGTTCCATATTTGCAATTGAGGGACTAATTAATGAAACTGGGAGAGGAGCATTGAACATAGTCTGATAGGGGAGAATACAATCCCAAAAGTCAACCCCCGAAAATACACAACGTCAGGTATCAAAGGCTCTACATGAGGCAAGAGTAAGAGACATGTTGGTGGAGAGGATGCTGGAGCCATACCTGTTAAGATGGAAATTGTCCCGAAGAAATAGACCTGGTCGGTCTGTAAAAGCTGCAAAGTTATCCACAATAGGAATTCCCATCGTGCAGCAGTATCCATTAAGCCAGGTGTGTAATTGGCGTATACGACTAAAAACCATATCCGTGTAGCGTGGGGATGGAAAAGGACCGGAAACAACACACTGCTTCCCAGATTCCAGCAGCGTATTTATCAATGTTTTAAAATCGTTTCTCAATTTCTCTGACTGCTGGAGTTTAATGTCATTTGACCCAACATGGACAATGACAGTTGAAGCGGCAGAGTGCTTGCTAATAAGTAGCGGTAGCATGGAATTTAGGTCAGGGATCCTAGCGCCAGGGTAGCAGAAAGTCTCAGCTTTCCGGATTGAAACGTTTCGGACCATGGATGAACCCACCACGAGAACGGAAGGACTACAGATGGGTTTATTGGGTAAATGACGTGGCCTCTCCCTTAAGGTGATTATGGTATGAACACGTCAACATTGTTTCACACATGGTGTGAGAAGGGGTTACATCGGCCTCTTGATTTGGGATGATCGAAATGTGGGGTAGAAAATAACGCAAAACGCAGGGCCCTAGAAATAAGTTATAGCATTACCCTTAATTTAAATGGGTGATGTACAGTGCCTTCGGAAAGAATTCAGACCCCTTGACTTTTTCCACATTTTGTTATGTTACACCCTTATTCTAAAATGGATTACAAAAATTAAAAAAATCAATCTACACACAATACCCCCATAATGACGAAGCGAAAACATGTTTTAAATTTTTTTTGCAAATGTATTACGAATAGAAAACTGAAATATCTTATTTACAAAAGTAATTTTGCTCTGTAGAGCTCCGAGACAGAATTGTATCGAAGCACAGATCTGGGGAAGGGTACAAAAAAATATATGCAGCATTGAAGGTCCCCAAGAACACAGTGGCCTCCATCATTCTTAAATGGAAGAAGTTTGGAACCACCAACTCTTCTTAAGAGCTGGGTGCCCAGCCAAACTGAGCAATTGGGGGAGAAGGGCCTTGGTCAGGGAGGTGACCAAGAAACCGATTATCACTCTGACAGAGCTCTAGAGTTCCTCTGTGGAGATGGGAAGCCACTCCTCAGTAAAAGGCACATGACAGCCCGCTTGGAGTTTGCCAAAAGGCACCTAAAGACTCTCAGACCATGAGAAACTAGATTCTCTGGTCTGATGAAACCAAGAATGAACACTTTGGCCTGAATGCTAAGCGTCACGTCTGGAGTAAACCTGGCAACATCCCTACGATGAAGCATGGTGGTGGCAGCATCATGCTGTGGGGATGTTTTTTAGCGGCATGGACTGGGAGATTAGTCAAGATCGAGGGAAAGATGAACGGAGCAAAGTACAGAGAGATCCTTGATGAAAACCTGCTCCAGAGCGCTCAGGACCTCAGACTGGGGCGAAGGTTCACCTTCCAACAGGACAACGACCCTAAGCACACAGCCAAGACAACACAGGAGTGGCTTCGGAAACAAGTCTCTGAATGTCCTTGAGTGGCCCAGCCAGAGCCCGGACTTGAACCTGATCTAACATCTCTAGAGAGACCTGAAAATAGATGTGCAGCGACGCTCCCCATCCAACCTGATAGAGCTTGAGAGGATCTGCAAAGAAGAATGGGAGAAACTCCCCAGATACAGGTGTGCCAAGCTTGTAGCGTCATACCCAAGAAGACTTGAGGCTGTAATCTCTGCCAAAGGTGCTTCAATAAAGTACTGAGTACAGGGTCTGAACACTTATGTAAATGTCATTTCTGTTTTTTATTTTTAAGACATTTACAAACATTTCTAAAAACCTGTTTTTGCTTTGTCATTACGGGGTATTGTGTGTAGATTGATGAAGGAAAAAACAATTGAATCAATTTTAGAATAAGGCTGTAACATAACAAAATGTGGAAAAAGTCAATACTTTCCAAATGACGTCATGAAACGTTGAAACTAAGTTGCAAGCTACTTTCGTAGCAAGGCGTTGTAGCACAAGTGTCTTATGAAGCACATTCCAGACACTGGCTCTTGCTATCTTGCCATAACTGATTTGACAGAGAAATATCAGCCAGATAGGATAGCCAGCTACAGCTATCACCAAGCTATGCTACCTAGCTGCTGTCAGCTTGACTAAACACAAGGTTAGCGCCAGGGGTCATAGAGTGCTGCTGGAGTGGCGCTCCCTCACTTTTTTCATTTTTAAGAACACACAGAGCTGGCCAAACTATTTATAAAAAATGTACTTTGATAAATTATATTTAATTACCACACAGAACAATATGTGACCACTTGGTTATGGCGACACCGTTCTGCCGAGGACACCCAAACCAGAGTGGCCACCGCAAAGTCCAATTGGGAGCCTGACCCTCTCTGGAAGTTGCTGTAGCCCTGGTTGGGATAGTTGACCTACACTGACTTTTGGTTGAGACGCAGGGCCCGTTCTAGCTTGATATGTCAGGGTGGGCAATTGGAAATGTGAATTGGGCCAAGTTGGAGGTTATAGTTTATTGAGATGCATGCTTGATTTTAGATGCAAGCTTGATTTTATGGCTGTTTTAAAATGAATTTCCTGCAATTCTACAAAGTAATGATTTATGTTCACTCCTTTGTCAATTGATTTGATAGCATGTTTAATCTATGAAAATAAATTATATGAATTGATAGTTCACCTCTGTTTTCTTTTTTCTTCTGTAATAGCGTATATTGTAACCATGTGTTAAAATGCAAATCAATTTATAACATTTTTGACATGCGTTTTTCTGGATTTTTCTATTGTTATTCTGTCTCTCACTGTTCAAATAAACCTACCATTAAAATTATAGAATTATCATTTCTTTTTCAGTGGGCAAACGTACAAAATTTCCCCTCACTGTATTTTTAGACAGAATAAGCTAAGTAGCCAATAGGCAGAGGTTAGCATAATTTGTCTGATTCTCTGTAATAATGTTATGGGAATAATAAGGAACTTTATTTTGTAAATGGTTTCTTGCCTCAAACAACACATTTTCAGTCACCTCCTTGTCTGAAGGACAAGTGGATAAACAGGTTAATGTCAAGCCCTGCATATTTCTTTCCAATGTTATAATTGTAACTTAAAGTGGGTACAGCCTCATTATTCACAATAAACATGTGCCACAAGTTTGTGCTCAGCAGACCTGAAATTTGCTCAGTGCGGAAATTTTTTTGAGGGAACATTGGCTGTGAGTCTTTCTGGGTAAGTCTCTAAGAGCTTTACACAACTGGATTGTGCAACATTTGATCATTATTATTTTCAAAATTCTTCAAGTTCTTTCAAATTGGTTGTTAATCATTGTTAGACTACCATTGCTAGGTCTTCCCATAGATTTTCCTGCTGAAAGGTGAATTCATCTCCCAGTGTCTGGTAGAAAGTAGACTGAACCAGATTTCCTCTAGGATTTTGCCTGTGCTTAGCTCCATTCCATTTCTTTTTTATCCTGAAAAACTCCCCAGTCCTTAACGATTACAAGCATACCTATAACATGATGCAGCCACCACTATGCTTGAAAATATGGAGAGTTAACTCAGTAATGTGTTGTATTGGATATGCCCCAAACATAACACTTTGTATTCAACACTTTGCGTTGTGATTGAATGGCAAAGACACACCCAAGAAACACCCACATCAAACCACACCCTCAAGCCAACTTTAGTTTGCCTTCAGCAGAGAGAAAGAGGCGAAGCGAGAGGATTCACTCTCGCCAAAATACAGTGCATTCGGAATAGTATTCAGACCCCTACACTTTTTCCACATTGTTACGTTACAGCCTTATTCTAAAATGGATCAAATTGTTTTTTCCCCTCATCAATCTAAACACGATACCCCATAAAGACAAAGCAAAAACAGGCTTTTTTTTTTTTCTAGTTAGAGCCTTGGTGGTTTCAAACTTCTTACATTTAAGAATGATGGAGGCCACTGTGTTCTTGGGGACCTTCAATGCTGCAGACATTTTTTGGTACCATTCCCCAGATCTGTGCCTCGACACAATCCTGTCTAGGAGCTCTACAGAGCAGAATTCCTTCGACCTCATGGCTTGGTTTTTGCTCTGACATGCACTGTCAACTATGGGACCTAACATAGACAGGTGTTTGCCTTTCCAAATAATGTCCAATCAATTGAATTGACCACAGGTGGACTCCAATCAGGTTGTAGAAACATCAATGGATGATCAATGGAAACAGGATTCACCTGAGCTCAATTTTGAGTCTCATAGCAAAGGGTCTGAATACTTATGTATATAAAGGTATTCCTGTTTTTCCTATTTTTTTATAGTTTGCTAAAATTTAAAAAAAAAAAAAGTTTTCAGACCTAAACTCAGCAAAAAAAGAAACGTCCTCTCACTGTCAACTGCGTTTATTTTCAGCAAACTTAACATGTGTAAATATTTGTATGAACATAACAAGATACAACAACTGAGACATAAACTGAACAAGTTCCACAGACATGTGACTAACAGAAATTGAATTATGTGTCCCTGAACAAAGGGGGGTGGGGTCAAAATCAAAAGTAACAGTCAGTATCTGGTGTGGCCACCAGCTGCATTAAGTACTGCAGTGCATCTCCTCCTCATGGACTGCACCAGATTTGCCAGTTCTTGCTGTGAGATGTTACCCCAATCTTCCACCAAGGCACCTGCAAGTTCCCGGACATTTCTGGGGGGAATGGCCCTAGCCCTCACCCTCCGATCCAACAGGTCCCAGATGTGCTCAATGAGATTGAGATCCGGGATCTTCGCTGGCCATGGCAGAACACTGACATTCCTGTCTTCACATACAGAACAAGCAGTATGGCTGGTGGCATTGTCATGCTGGAGGGTCATGTCAGGATGAGCCTGCAGGAAGGGTCCCACATGAGGGAGGAGGATGTCTTCCCTGTAACGCACAGCGTTGAGATTGCCTGCAATGACAACAAGCTCAGTCCGATGATGCTATGACACACCGCCCCAGACCTTGACGGACCCTCCACCTCCAAATCGATCCTGCTCCAGAGTACAGGCCTCGGTGTAACGTTCATTCCTTCGACGATAAACGCGAATCCGACCATCACCCCTGGTGAGACAAAACCGCGACTCGTCAGTGAAGAGCACTTTTTGCCAGTCCTGTCTGGTCCAGCGACGGTGGGTTTGTGCCCATAGGCGACGTTGTTGCCAGTGATATCTGGTGAGCACCTGCCTTACAACATGCCTACAAGCCCTCAGTCCAGCCTCTCTCAGCCTATTGCGGACAGTCTGAGCACTGATGGAGGGATTGTGTGTTCCTGGTGTAACTCAGGCAGTTGTTGTTGCCATCCTGTACCTGTCCCGCAGGTGTGATGTTCGGATGTACCGATCCTGTGCAGGTGTTGTTACACGTGGTCTGCCACTGCGAGGATGATCAGCTGTCCGTCCTGTCTCCATGTAGCGCCGTCTTAGGCGTCTCACAGTACAGACATTGCACTTTATTGCCCTTGCCACATTTGCAGTCCTCATTCTCCTTGCAGCATCCCTAAGGCACGTTCACGCAGATGAGCAGGGACCCTGGGCATCTTTCTTTTGGTGTTTTTCAGAGTCAGTAGAAAGGCCTCTTTAGTGGGCCTTAATTTTCTACCGTCTGTAAGCTGTTAGTGTCTTAACGACCTTTCCACAGGTGCATGTTCATTAATTGTTTATGGTTCATTGAACAAGCATGGGAAACAGTGTTTAAACCCTTTACAATGAAGATCTGTGAAGTTATTTGGATTTTTACGAATTATCTTTGAAAGACAGGCTCCTGAAAAAGGGACGTTTCTTTTTTTGCTGAGTTTTATGTCACTTGCTTCCCAGCCTTTGGGACAATGACTCCCATTGTTAGGGTAGAGACATGAGCATCTCGTCATTATATACTGATCTCTGCCTTCAGTCATGGCCCCTAGCATTTCTTACTGAGCATTGCTGAAAAATTAGGCCAAATCAGGAAGCGCAGTCGCTCTTTCAAGACTGGTTGATAGACTGGCCAAGGAAATAGATTTTCCCACCTGGTATTATTAGGTTGTATAACTTTAAAGAGTGACTACCTCTAAAAACCAACAAATTCCCTTAAAACCAGCCTATGTGGCATTAATATGAGTCAGGAACATTTATTCCAGCGTGATCATAGACTACAAAGTGTAAATATGATCATTTTGTTCATAAAGTCAGTTTTGTCTAAAACTGAGTTTGGAACCTCAGTTCGTCACAACGAGTAAATTAAGTTTGGATTACAATTATGTCCACAGATCATGCCCCCTTTTGCCAAACTCCACGTGCAAATCTCCCCTCCGCCCACTTCCCTTCATTGAATGGGGCTCCGTTGTTTCATCGCCCCCAACATGTTCAAACGATCTTGGCCATTTTAGAAAAGCACTATATGGATTAACCATGCAATGCATGCTTCCAGCAGGATGCACAGCCAACTGGTTTGCATGCCCTGCCGAAGGACCCCATCATGCAGATATGGTGGTTGGAGTTTGTTGGTCCCCAGTGGTGGTGAGTATACTGGTAGTTAGACCATAGTCTGCTGGTTATGTATTTGGTTATGTACAGTCGTGGTCAAACGTTTTGAGAATGACACAAATACTAATTTTCACAAAGTCTGCTGCCTCAGTTTTGATGATGGCAATTTGCATATACTCCAGAATGTCATGAAGAGTGATCAGATGAATTGCAATTAATTGCAAAGTCCCTCTTTGCCATGAAAATGAACTTAATCCCCAAAAAACATTTCCACTGCATTTCAGCCCTGCCACAAAAGGACCAGCTGCCATCATGTCAGTGATTCTCTCGTTAACACAGGTGAGAGTGTTGACGAGGACAAGGCTGGAGATCACTCTCTCATGCTGATTGAGTTGGAATAACAGACTGGAAGCTTTAAAATGAGGGTGGTGCTTGAAATCATTGTTCTTCCTCTGTTAACCATGGTTACCTGCAAGGAAACATGTGCTGTCATCATTGCTTTGCACAAAAAGGGCTTCACAGGCAAGGATATTGCTGCTAGTAAGATTGCACCTAAATCAACCATTTATCGGATCATCAAGAACTTTAAGGAGAGAGGTTCAATTGTTGTGAAGAAGGCGTCAGGGCGCCCAAGAAAGTCCAGCAAGCGCCAGGACCGTCTCCTAAAGTTGATTCAGCTGCGGGATCGGGGCACCACCAGTGCAGAGCTTGCTCAGGAATGGCAGCAGGCAGGTGTGAGTGCATCTGCACGCACAGTGAGGCAAAGACTTTTGGAGGATGGCCTGGTGTCAAGAAGGGAATGACACAAATACACTTCTCTCCAGGAAAAACATCAGGGACAGACTGATATTCTGCAAAAGGTATAGGGATTGGACTGCTGAGGACTGGGGTAAAGTCATTTTCTCTGATGAATCCCCTTTCCGATTGTTTGGGGCATCCGGAAAACACCTTGTCCGGAGAAGACAAGGTGAGCGCTACCATCAGTCCTGTGTCATGCCAACGGTAAAGCATCCTGAAACTATTCATGTATGGGGTTGCTTCTCAGCCAAGGGAGTGGGCTCACTCACAATTTTGCCTAAGAACACAGCCATGAATAAAGAATGGTACTAACACATCCTCCGAGAGCAACTTCTCCCAACCATCCAAGAACAGTTTGGTGACGACCAATGCCTTTTCCAGCATGATGGAGCACCTTGCCATAAGGCAAAAATGATAACTAAGTGGCTCGGGGAACAAAATACCGACATTTTGGGTCCATGGCCAGGAAAGTCCCCAGACCTTAATCCCATTGAGAACTTGTGGTCGATCCTCAAGAGGCGGGTGGACAAACAAACCCCACAAATTCTGACAAACTCCAAGCATTGATTATGCAAGAATGGGCTGCCATCAGTCAGGATGTGGCCCAGAAGTTAATTGACAGCATGCCAGGGCGGATTGCAGAGGTCTTGAAAAAGAAGGGTCAACACTGCAAATATTGACTCTTTGCATAAACTTAATGTAATTGTCAATAAATGCCTTTGACACGTATGGAATGCTTGTAATTATACTTCAGTATACCATAGTAACATCTGACAAAAATATATCATAACACTGAAGCAGCGAACTTTGTGAAGACCAATACTTGTGTCATTCTCAAATCTTTTGACCACGACTGTACAGTACCAGTCAAAAGTTTGGACACACCTACTCATTCAAGGGTTTTTCTTTATTTTTACTATTTTCTACATTGTAGAATAATAGTGAAGACATCAAAACTATGAAATAACACATCATGTAGTAACCAAAAAAGTGTTAAACAAATCAAAATATTTTTTATATTTGAGATTCTTCACAGTAGCCACCCTGTGCCTTGATGACAGCTTTGCACACTCTTGGCATTCTCTCAACCAGCTTCATGAAGTAGTCAACTGGAATTCATTTAAATTAAAACAGGTGTGCCTTGTTAAAACTTAATTTGTGGAATTTCTTTTCTTCTTAATGCGTTTGAGCCAATCAGTTGTGTTGTGACAAGGTAGTGATGGTATACAGAATATAGCCCAATTTGGTAAAAGACCAAGTCCATATTATGGCAAAAACAGCTCAAATAAGCATTACTTTTAGACATGAAGGTCAGTCAATCCTGAAAATTTCAAGAACTTTGAAAGTTTCTTCAAGTGCAGTCGCAAAAACAATGAAGCGCTATGATGAAACTGGCTCTCATGAGGACCGCCACAGGAAAGGAAGACCCAGAGTTACCTCTGCTGCAGAAGATAAGTTCATTAGAGTTACCAGCCTCAGAAATTGCAGCCCAAATAAATGCTTCACAGAGTAACAGACATCTCAATATCAACTGTTCAGAGGAGACTGCGTGAAGCAGGCCTTCATGGTCGAATTGCTGCAAAGAAACCACTACTAAAGGACACCAATAAGAAGAAGAGACTTGCTTGGGCCAAGAAACACAAGCAATGGACATTAGACCGGTGGAAATCTGTCCTTTGGTCTGATTTGTCCAAAAGGGGAGTTTTGGTTCCAACCGCCGTGTCTTTGTGAGACACAGAGTAGGTGAACGGATGATCTCTGCATGTGTGGTTCCAACCGTGAAGCATGGAGGAGGAGGTGTGATGGTGTGGGGGTGCTTTGCTGGTGACACTGTTGGTGATTTATTTAGAATTCAAGGCACAGCATTCTGCAGGGATAAGCCATCCCATCTGGTTTGGGCTTAGTGGGTGATGGAGTGCTGCATCAGATGACCTGGCCTCCACAATCACCCGACCTCAACCCAATTGAGATGGATTGGGATGAGTCAGATCACAGAGTGAAGGAAAAGCAGCCAACAAGTGCTCAGCATATGTGGGAACTCCTTCAAGACTGTTGGAAAAGCATTCCTCATGAACCTGGTTGAGAGAATGCCAAGAGTGTGCAAAGCTGTCATCAAGGCAAAGGGTGGCTATTTGAAGAAACTCAAATATAAAATATATTTTGATTTGTTTAACACTTTTTGGGTTACTACATGATTACATATGTGGTATTCCATAGCTTAGAAGTCTTCACTACTATTATACAATGTAGAAAATAGTAAAAAATAATAACCCTTGAATGAGTAGGTGTGTCCAAACTTTTGACTGATACTGTATATTTAGATTATCATTATCACTATCATAGCTAGCTAGATGGCTAACATTAGCCTACCTCAATATAACTCAGATTTAGCTTGGAAACACAATAACATTTCAAAAGAAGCGAAATAATTAGTTGGAAAACCTTTTGTCATGATTGTGATGTCTCCAGATTAACTTTCGATGCAGTATAACTTTAGTCAGCTAACTAAGATTGAGGGGACCACCGTATTTGAGCTAGCTAACATTAGCATTGCTAGCTATTTTCGACAAACTTTGCTAGTAACAGTAATGGTAACCTTGCCATCTTTCTCAAATAAGTTTGACGATATCATAATATGGCAAAGTTGTTTGCTACAAATGATTTACCTACTTCAGCTAGCTCACCGTATTTCTATGCTACTCTAATTTAGTGTAATTTAGACTAAACAGTCACATTAGCCCATGTCTAGGGCACAAATAAATACTGGATGCAGCTATGGTGGTACCAGCTAACTCATGTCTGACTACAACAGTGTACTAACAACTAGTGGCAACAAACTCAAACCAAGAAAAACAGTTGTTTGCAGAGTGTAATGGCATCACCGACCTGAATCTAATCCAATCTGGAGATTTCTCGAGCTATGTTTATAATTGAGAGATGATTAAAATAGTTGACCATGTTTTTCTGTTAGAGTGATCCCCTGGTCATGAACGGATGCCGGAACCTACCACAAGGAGCAAAGGTGGGTATCGTAACATGTCCAGCAACGTGATTGCAATGGCTTAGCGACCTCCAGAAATAATTTCATGGTGCTGCTGTGCTGTTTGTTGTTACTTGGCTACTTGCCCAACTTTTTGTTTTTTACTTTTAATAACCATTTAATAAAAACTCTGCATTTAACACATTTACCAACTTCTTAGTTTTTTCCTCGCTCAACTTTTTTCATTCAACTTTTTCACCCGGGATGCTTTATCTGGACATGGTTCTGCAGGACCTCCACCAACCGGAAAAGCTAAGTAGTAACATTAACGCTATGCCATCTAATTGCAGTCGCTGTACTCATAATATGCAGGAGAACTATCGCCTTACGATGAGCATAGCGGAGTTGCAAGCCCAGCTTCAGACGCAATCGTTAGGCAAGGGCAATCTAAGTGTAGGAAAGGATGAAACAGCGTCTGTGCCACCAGTAAGTACAGATAGTAGTATAAATCCCCCCGCACAGTCCCCGCAGCCGGACAATTTTCTCAAGGCTTCTGGAAAGAAATGCTGTCGGCATACTCAACCGGTGTCGCTCATTCAGACGACATAAACTTTCAACTGGTTCTCCCCATTAAGCAACGAGTCGGAGTCAGAGGCCGATCCTTCTCAAGTCTCTCCTCCACCCGTTACGGGGTCTGAGCCGCCGAAGCCTCCCCCATTAGCTCTGACAAATTGAAAACCCTAGTCTTTGGCGACTCCATTACCCGCAATATTAGAGTAAAAAAATTATCATCCAGCGATCATAAACTATTTACCAGGGGGCAGGGCTACTGACGTAAAGGCTAATCTGAAGAGGGTGCTGGTTAAGGCTAAAACTGGCGAGTGTAGAGAGTATAGGGATATTGTTATCCACGTCAGCACCAACAGTGTTAGGATGAAACAGTCAGAGGTCACCAAGCGCAACATAGCTTCAGCGTGTAATTTAGCTAGAAAGATATGTCGGCATCAAGTAATTGTCTCTGGCCCCCTTCCTGTTAGGGGGAGTGATGAACTCTACAGCAGTCTCACAACTCAATCGCTGGTTGAAAACTGTTTTCTGCCCCTCCCAAAAAATAGAATTTGTAGATAATTGGCCCTCTTTCTGGGACTCACCGACAAACAGGACCAAGCCTGGCCTGCTGAGGAGTGACGGACTCCATCCTAGCTGGAGGGGTGCTCTCATCTTATCTACCAACATAGACAGGGCTCTAACTCCTCTAGCTCCACAATGAGATAGGGTGCAGGCCAGGCAGCAGGCTGTTAGCCAGCCTGCTGTCAGTTTGGCACCGATGTGGATGTGATGAGGAGTCAGGCGCAGGACACAGAGGTTTAGTCCAACAAACTTTACTATAGTAAAGTGAACAATAATCAATAAACGACCTCGAAAATACAGAGGCGAGCACAGTACGCAACATGCGTAAAACAAAACATGTAGAGCGCAAAACACGCAGCTCAAACGACACGCGGACAACAACACACAATATAACTAACACAAAACAGGGAACTTATAGGACACGTAATTAGGACACAAACAGACACAGGTGTACCAGACAGACCAAAGCAATCAACACACGGTGGCAGCTAGTATTCCGGGGACGGCGAACGCCGAAGCCTGCCCGAACCAGGAGGAGGAGCAGCCTCGGCCGAAACCGTGACAGTACCCCCCCCTTGACGCGCGGCTCCAGCCGTGCGCCGACCCCGGTCTCGGGGACGGCCAGGAGGACGCGGACCCGGGCGCGTGGGATGCCCACGGTGGAACTCTGTCAGGAGGGATGGGTCGAGGATGTCCCTCCTAGGCACCCAGCACCGTTCCTCCGGACCGTACCCCTCCCACTCCACGAGATACTGGAGACCACTCCTCCGGCGCCTCGAGTCCAATATAGTCCGGACCCTGTACGCCGGTGCCCCCTCGATGTCCAAAGGGGGTGGAGGGGTCTCTCCTATCTCCTCCTCTTGGAGTGGACCAGCTACCACCGGCCTGAGAAGAGACACATGGAACGAGGGGTTAATATTTTTGTACTCAATAGGCAGTTGTAATCTGTAACACACCTCGTTCAATCTTCTCAGGACTTTGAAGGGCCCCACAAACCGCCGACCCAGCTTCCGGCAGGGCAGGCGGAGGGGCAGGTTTCGAGTCGAGAGCCAGACTCGATCTCCCGGTGCGTACACCGGCCCCTCACTGCGGTGGCGATCGGCGCTCGCCTTGTGTTGACGGATGGCACGCTGCAGATGGACATGGGCAGCGTCCCACGTCTCCTCAGAGCGCCGAATCCACTCGTCCACCGCAGGGGCCTCGGTCTGGCTCTCGTGCCATGGTGCCAGGACCGGCTGATACCCTAAAATACACTGGAAAGGTGTTAATCCGGTGGAGGAGTGGCGGAGAGAGTTCTGGGCCATCTCTGCCCAGGGGATATACCTCGACCACTCCTCCGGCCGGTCCCGGCAATAGGACCTCAAAAACCTACCCACATCCTGGTTCACACGTTCAACCTGCCCATTGCTCTCTGGGTGGTACCCCGAGGTAAGGCTAACCGAGACCCCCAGGCGTTCCATGAAAGCCCCCCAGACTCTGGAGGTGAACTGGGGACCTCGGTCGGACACAATATCCTCGGGGACCCCATAGTGCCGGAACACGTGAGTAAAGAGGGCCTCGGCGGTCTGTAGGGCAGTAGGGAGACCCGGCAGTGGGAGGAGACGACAGGCCTTAGAAAACCGATCCACAACGACCAAAATGGTGGTATTACCCTGGGAAGGGGGTAGATCGGTCACAAAATCCACCGAGAGGTGGGACCATGGTCGTTGTGGAACGGGCAGAGGATGTAACTTACCCCTGGGCAAATGTCTAGGTGCCTTACACTGGGCACACACCGAGCAGGAGGAGACATAAACCCTCACATCCCTGGCTAACGTTGGCCACCAGTATTTCACGCTAAGGCAGTGCACCGTCCGACCAATACCAGGATGTCCAGAGGAGGGTGATGTATGAGCCCAAGAAATAAGCCGATCACGAACCTCGAGCGGAACGTACGTCCGCCCCACAGGACACTCGGGGGGAGTAGGGTCGGTACGCAGCGCCCGCTCGATTTCCGTATCGACCTCCCATACTACCGGAGCCACCAGACAAGACTCCGGCAGTATGGAAGTAGGCTCAATGGACCTCTCCTCTGTGTCATACTGCCGGGACAGGGCGTCTGCCTTACCGTTCTGGGACCCAGGGATGTATGTGATCTTAAAAACAAACCGGGTCAGGAACATGTTCCACCTAGCCTGACGAGGGTTCAATCTCCTAGCTGCCCGGATGTACTCCAGGTTACGGTGATCAGTCAGAATGAGGAAAGGGTGTTGAGCCCCCTCAAGCCAATGCCTCCACACCTTTAGGGCCTGGACTACAGCTAACAGCTCCCTGTCCCCAACGTCATAATTGCGCTCCGCCGAGCTGAGCTTCTTAGAGTAGAACGCACAGGGGCGGAGCTTAGGTTGCGTGCCGGACTGTTGTGACAGGACTGCCCCAATACCGGTCTCGGACGCGTCCACCTCTACTTGGAAAGGCAAAGAGGGATCCGGATGCGCCAGCACCGGGGCCGAGGCGAACAGGTTCTTCAGCTTGACAAATGCCCTGTCCGCCTCAGCTGACCACCGCAAGCGCACCGGACCCCCCTTTAGCAGGGACGTAATGGGAGCTGCAACCTGTCCAAAGCCCCGGATAAACCTCCGGTAGTAATTAGCAAAACCCAAGAACCGCTGCACCTCTTTTACGGTGGTTGGAGTTTGCCAATTACGCACAGCCGCTACCCGATCTACCTCTATCTCCACGCCAGACGCGGACAACCGATAACCCAAAAAGGAGACGGACTCCTGGAAGAACAGGCATTTCTCTGCCTTGACATACAAGTCATGCTCCAACAGTCGTCTCAATACTCGGCGCACCTGGGCTACATGCTCGGCTCGTGTAGAAGAATACACTAGAATGTCGTCAATGTACACCACTACACCCTGCCCATGCATGTCCCGGAAAATCTCGTCAACAAAGGATTGGAAGACTGAAGGAGCATTCATTAACCCGTATGGCATGACGAGATACTCGTAATGACCCGAGGTGGTGCTAAATGCTGTTTTCCATTCATCCCCCTCCCTAATGCGCACCAAATTGTACGCGCTCCTGAGATCCAACTTTGTGAAGAACCGCACTCCGCGTAATGACTCCGTCATCGTCGCAATCAGTGGAAGTGGGTAACTGTATTTTACTGTGATCTGATTGAGACTACGGTAATCAATACACGGGCGCAATCCCCCGTCCTTCTTCTTCACAAAGAAGAAACTCGAGGAGACCGGAGAAGTAGAGGACCGTATGTATCCCTGTGCCAAGGACTCGGCTATGTAAGTCTCCATAGCCGCAGTTTCCTCTTGAGACAGGGGATACACATGACTCCTGGGAAGAGCTGCTCCGGTCTGGAGATTTATCGCACAGTCCCCCTGTCTATGAGGAGGTAGCCGTGCTGCCCACGATTTGCTAAACGCTAGTGCTAAATCCTCATACTCGGGGGGAATGCGCAGTGCGGGCACTTGGTTCGGACTCTCTACCGAGGTCGCCCCTATGGAAACACCTAGACATCTCCCTACACACTGGGCAGACCACTCCATAAGAGCCCTCTGTTGCCACGCTATGGTAGGATCGTGGGTGCTTAACCAGGGAAGCCCCAACACCACTGGGTACGCAGGAGAGTCAATCAGATAGAACTGAATGATTTCCTCATGACCCCCCTGCGTCGTCATCGTCAGCGGTGCCGTGACATCCCTGATCAGACCCGACCCCAACGGCCGGCTGTCTAATGCGTGGACAGGGAATGGAACTTCTACCGGCCGAAGGGGAATTCCTAACCTAGCACAAAATGCCCGATCAATAAAGTTCCCAGCTGCGCCTGAATCTACTAGCGCCTTATGCTGGGAATGAGGTGCCACCTGTGGAAAACGCACAGGAATACTCATGTGACCAACAGAGAGCTCTGGGTAAGTGGGGCGCCTACTCACCTGAAATGACTCCCCAGTGCGTGACCTGTTGTCCCCTCTCTCAGAAGACCCTCCACAGCACCTGGCCGCGGTGTGTCCTCCACGGCCACAGTTGGTGCAGGGGGTGGCCCCCCTCGGGTTCTCCCTCCTCCTCTCTCTAGCGCCAGCACCCCCGAGCTCCATAGAAATTGGCTCGGAGGTGCTGGAGGATGGAATGGACGACCCCCACTCGGGACGTCCGCGGGTGGCCAGCAGGGTGTCAAGCCGGATGGAGATGTCCACCAGCTGGTCGAAGCATAGGTTGGTGTCCCTGCAGGCCAGCTCACGACGAACGTCCTCTCGCAGGCTACACCGGTACTGGTCGATGAGGGCCCTCTCATTCCATCCTGCATCCGCAGCTAACGTCCGGAACTCCAGTGCGAACTCCTGTGCGCTCCTCTTCTCCTGTCGGAGGTAGACCAGACGCTCCCCCGCCGCCTTCCCTTCAGGTGGGTGATCGAAGACTGCCCGGAAGCGGCGGGAGAACTCAGCGTAGGTGATGGTAGCTGCGTCTATTCTCCTCCATTCGGCGTTGGCCCACTCCAACGCCTTTCCGGATAGACAGGAGATGAGGGCGGAGACGCTCTCGTATCCCGAGGGCGCTGGGTGTATAGTAGCCAGGTATAGTTCTACCTGCAGGAGGAACCCCTGACACCCGGCTGCAGAACCGTCATATGCCCTCGGGAGCGAGAGCCGAATACCACTGGGTTCCGGCGCTGAGAGAGGAGGACTGACCGGTGGTGATGGGATGGTGTATGAGGACGTGGGCACCTCTCCATTAGCCAACCGGTGCAGAGTGTTGGACACCTCGCCCAGAACGGCCTCCAGTTGCCGGATCATGGAGTCCTGCTGACTGAGCCGTTCTTCTAGCGACCAGGTTGTCGTCGCTGATCCTGCTGACTCCATAGATGGTGTGTTGTTCTGTCAGTTTGGCACCGATGTGGATGTGATGAGGAGTCAGGCGCAGGACACAGAGGTTTAGTCCAACAAACTTTACTATAGTAAAGTGAACAATAATCAATACACGACCTCGAAAATACAGAGGCGAGCACAGTACGCAACATGCGTAAAACAAAACATGTAGAGCGCAAAACACGCAGCTCAAACGACACGCGGACAACAACACACAATATAACTAACACAAAACAGGGAACTTATAGGACACGTAATTAGGACACAAACAGACACAGGTGTACCAGACAGACCAAAGCAATCAACACACGAAACATACAACGGTGGCAGCTAGTATTCCGGGGACGGCGAACGCCGAAGCCTGCCCGAACCAGGAGGAGGAGCAGCCTCGGCCGAAACCGTGACACCTGCCAGCTTAGTGGAGTCTACAACTAGCACAGTCAGTGTAGTCAGCTCAGCTATCCCATTGAGACCGTGTCTGTTCCTCGATCTAGGTTGGGCAAAACTAAACATGGTGGTGTTCGCCTTAGCAATCTCACTGGAATAAAGACCTCCTCCATTCCTGTCATTATTGAAAGAGATTGTGATATCTCACATCTCAAAATAGCGCTACTAATGTTAGATCCCTCACTTCCAAGGCAGTCATAGTCAATGAACTAATCACTGATCAAAACCTTGATGTGATTGGCCTGACTGAAACACAGCTCAAGCCTGATGAATTTACTGTGTTAAATGAGGCCTCTCCTCCTTGTTACTCTCGAAGCGTCTTGGTGGTTCCAAACTTCTTCCATTTAAGAATGATGGCGGCCACTGTGTTCTTGGGGACCTTCAATGCTGCAGAAATTGTTTGGTACCCTTCCCCAGATCTGTGCCTTGACACAATCCTGTGTTGGAGCTCTACGGACAACTCATTCGGCCACATGGCTTGGTTTTTGTTCTGACATGCACTGTCAACTGTGGGACCTTATATAGACAGGTGTGTGCCTTTCCAAATCATTTTGAATCAATTGGATTTACCACAGGTGGACTCCAATCAAGTTGTAGAAACATCTCAAGGATGATCAATGGAAGCAGGATTCACCTGAGCTCAATTGAGTCTCATAGCAAAGGGTCTGAATACTTATGTAAATAAGGTATTTCTGTTTTCTATTTTTAATACATTTGCAAAAATTTATAAAAACCAGTTTCTGCTTTGTCATTATGGGGTATTGTGTATAGATTGATGAGGATTTTTTATTTTTTTTTAATCCATTTTAGAAAAAGGCTGTAACGTAACAAAATGTGGAAAAAGTCAAATGGTCTGAATACTTTCCAAATGGACTGTAAATACATGTTACCATGGAAATGATATCAACTACTGCGAGTTCAATGCCCACAGTCTTGTCAGCTCAGCTGTCCTACAACACAAGTAAGGGTTAAACGCCGACGTTCTGCACATTAACTTGGAAAAATGAACTCCGCAAAGTGATTCGGCTCCGCTTCGTCGTCCAAGATTTCCAAGGTAATGTACAGAACGTCAGCGTTTATCCCTTACTTGTGTTGTAGGACAGCTGAGCTGACAAGACTGTGGGCATTAAACTCGCAGTAGTTGATATCATTTCCCTGGTAACATTTCTGGAAGCGAACCACTCGATTTCGTCCCTGCGTTATATAGGCATCGAACATGTCACCCTCCCTAGGAGAGGGGGTGACCTCGACAACTTATTGTTAAAACGAGAGGCTGCCTGGATCTTTAATTTTAAGACCCTTGCTCCCTTCGTTCTCAATGTAGACTTTAAGCCATTCTTGTGATTATTGTGATTTTGCTATTCATTGTAAATGTTTGTAGGCCTACGTAGCCAAATTGTATTTATGATCGTATGCTATCCATTCATGTTTTTTGTATGTTCTGTGTATCTGTGAATCAACCAATGATATCAGGCCACACCCGGCCATGATTAGACACCTGTGTGTGTCCTTTGACACTATCTAAACTACTGACCCGCAGTGTTTGTCACTATACCCTGATGAAGACAGCTTGTCTGTCGAAACGTTGGTTATTGGGTTATTAAATTATTGCATCTGAGCTTTTTCAAATGTACAGAACTGAGGCATTTATCCCGCTTATACCACAGTTGCCAAAGAAAACAATATGAAAACACACATTTACCGGTATAAAAAAAAAAAGAAGAGAATTCATACTTTCTCATCTTTCGGTTGCTAGAGACGCGACCCTGTTATTCGTTCAATTAGTTCGATATTTACAGACGCGATCCAGTCATTTGTTCTTTATGTTCCGTTGCCATGTTCAGTGGCAACGTTCTTATCCCTTGCTTGCTGCTAGCTAACCAACTACCTACGGCTACACAGTCACTACCTCCGCAGCCAGAATAACAGCAAAGTTTATTCCGTTGCGTTTGTTTAAGCTGTTCATCCCACTTATACCACAGTTGCCAAAGAAAACAATATTAAGCACACATTTACCGGTAGAAATAAAAATGTTTGTTGATATTTTAAATGTATATAAGCAAATACATACTAATCAATAGGATCTGCAGAGGAGAATGGGAGAAACTCCCCAAATACAGGTGTGCCAAGCTTGTAGTGTCATACCCAAGAAGACTCGAGGTTGTAATCGCTGCCAAAGGTGCTTCAACAAAGTACTGAGTAAAGGGTCTGAATACTTATGTAAATGTGATATTTCAGATTATACGTTTAGATTCGTTGCTTTTTATTTTACCAGGTAAATTGACTGAGAACAAATTCTCATTTACAGCAACAACGTGGGGAATAGTTAAGGAGAGAGAAGGGGGGGATGATTAGGTGGCCATGATGGTATGTGGGCCAGATTGAGAATTTAGCCAGGACACCGGGGTTAACGCCCCTACTCTTACGGTAAGTGCCATGGGATCTTCAGTGACCACAGAAATGACACTGGTGGTCATGTCAACACGCTGTATTTTTTCCCAACTACTACAATTGATTGGTGGCGTAGTCCGCTAAAACAAATTGGTTCATAGTTCAATGGTTGGGTGTTCTAATCCCACATGGGGCAGATCTCTTTTTTTTTTTCTTCTTCCTAAATCCTTTATTTACAATATTCATCCCGTGCCCACACACTTATAATTCTGAAAAGTGAAAGCATACCTGTGAGTGTGAGAAAGGGGTCGCCCTGGGAGTAGTTGGAGGTTTTTATACAGTACCCAAGACCAAACTGTGAGTTAATTTGACCATTGTAAAAAGAGTTACTGCGTAAAAACTGCAATGAGGGTTGGATTGAGCCCCTAATCTCAATTTTCAAGGCGATGATTGCACTTTTTATCCCAACACAATACCGCAACAAATGTGAGACCACATTTCAAAGATTTTTTTGCGCCCCATGGGGGATACGAACTTACACCACAAGTGGCAATAGATGTCAGGAACTCGCTGTCTAACCACTGTGAGTTAACTGTCCAAAGCCCTATGGGCTCGCAATGCAATGAAAAGAATTTTAGTATCAGAGTGCCAGTGTACTTCTAGTAAGTATGCATTAGTGAAAAAGTGTTGTGATAAATAAGGTACAAATATGTTTGCCCACCCACAAAATGAATTTATGAGCAATTCCCCCCACCCACAACTTATCACCTCAATGCATTTTTTTTTATTTTGATTGAAGGGGTTGGGCAAAGGCTGAAATTTGCATTGAGAGCTACCCTTTAATGAGAAAGAGTCCTTTTATTACATGAATTATTCAAAGCTGTTGACTCGCAAGGGGGATCTTATGAAATCATTAAGCTACAGATGGTCTTAATGAGCACGTTCAACATTGCAGCCGGCTTTGAAGGCTTTGATGCTCTCCTACATGGCCATAATCTGGTTCAGACTTCAAATATTCATGATCAGGACGAATAGAAATCAATAAAGTCTGACAGTGCCAGGTCATGTGACAAGCATGAGGTAGATTGGAGCAAACATTACCCTGATAACATTCTGGACATTGTATGGTATCCCATAGGAAGCAATATTTTATGGTGCATAGAGTCACCTTTGGGAACTGACACAAAATAACCCTGCACCCGAGTACTGGCTAGGGAGACCAGCTCAGCATTTCCAGTGCAAAAGACAAGAGCTATTTTCATTACCTTTGCAAATCTGATTTTCCACATCTATTGCCTTGGAGTGTCTGGGAATGGTGCAGTATATAGAGTGTTTTAGTATACTGTATTGTTAGCTCTACTTTAGTAAAAGGAGCCAACAGGCACCATTCTGGAAACTCCTCAGCTTCACTTGGATGGATTTATCCTTGCTGTCGCCCTCCCCCTCTACATGTAAACTCAGAGACAAAACTACAATTCAAGTAGAGGGCCGGCAACCAGCCAAAAACAGTCAGTGGCCAATTTACACCCATGTTGTCCTAAGATGTTTATACAGATGTGCCACTAAATTAAAATACATGCTAATGAGTTTCACTTTATTTCCTAAACTGAACGAATACCGAATTCGGCCCCAACCCTGTTCAGTGGAGTAATGAAGGGCTCACCTTCCGCTCTGCCAGGAGTTTCCTGTAGCCGCTGGCCCCCAGGGTGAGCAGGGTGATGAGCACATCCAGGGTGGGGGAGGCCTGGAGACAGAGGGCAGTCAGCGTCATACTAGAGGGGACAGACAAACACTTTCTAACCTGAACCCTTACTAGGACTGTATCGATTTTGGTACCAATATTGATTCCTCTCAATGATTGGTTTCCTTAATGGTTCCAATTCATATAATGAATTGATAATTATTTTGGCTTTGAATGCTTAAAATCTAGCCCAGTGGTCTCCAACTCCAATCCTAGAGAACTTTATTACAGGTAAAGGGAAGGAATGCGCTCAACTCTATATTCTTACGTAAAAACAGAGAAAGGGCGCTTGAAGTCAACAGTCAATCACATAACAAGGAAAAAAGGGGACTAACACTCACTTTATATAGTTGCAAATTGAAATCTTTGCTTATTGTATTATCTTCTTTTAGGCAACATATCCTACTACAACACATACTAGCCACATGCAGGTCTTTATTGTAGCGTAGCACTAACATACCTGATTTCATGACATGTTGATTATTTGAAACTGGTGTGTTAGTGCTAGGCTGGAATACAATCCTGCACACCAAGTAGCTTCCCCAGGATGGGCGTTAGAGCTAGACCCTGAGCTACCAAAATGAACGAACTTCCAATATTCCAGAGGGGAATTGGAATGTGTCACCAGCATCAGACAGACAGAGACAATACAGACACACAGGAATACAACAGAACACAGACATAATCAATTACACTATGAGCCCTATGATAACAGTAAACTAGTAGCTAATCCAGATAATAGCAACTTTACACAAAGGTTGCAGGCTTGGTTGAAACACATATGGCCCTTAGTGATTTGAAACAGCACTAACCTGGATACATTCTGCTGATCTCCTGAATAAAAGACCCATTGAAACCAGCAATTATGGCACCACCTACTGGAACCATGAAGTTTATGTCCAGGCTTTGTACAAAGGCATCGATTCTTCCAACACGAGCCCCCTAAAAGAGATTATGGAAATAACCAAATGTTGCTATGCCCATGGACAGGAAAAATGATTTTTTTAGGATTTATGAAAGAGGAGTTGGACCATTAGTACCTGCTGAATAAGGTGCATACACTTGGATGACTGCACTCCATAAGCAGTGTTGACAACATGGGGGATGTCATATTTGGCACACATAGTGGCTAGCTCCTCCAATCTGCCAGAACAGAGGAAAGTCATTATCAAATAATGCCCTGGTACTCTTGACCCAACATACACTGTAGTAATGTGGAAGTATGCTTCTGTCAGTAATGTCATGAAGTAGACTACATAATAAACAGTAAGCAGATTATACAAATAACATTTGTTTCCAGTGATACCAGTTATTATAGCACATGATAATTGGACATGGACATTTAATTTGTTACAGCTCTATGTATCCATGATTGGATGGCTTAAGGACTAGGTATACCTGTTGGGGACACGTGGGGCAAAGCAAGAAGTCGTGGAGTGGACACAAAGGATGTTCTCTGCTCCCAGCTCTTGCATCTTACGGTCCACCGCCTCCAGATCTGTTCTCAGCTCATCGCCCTCCAAAATGTTCTCAACCACCACTGGTTCAAATCCTGTTCATGGTTACGACGAGCAAGAGAGTGGTCAATGTTGGGGTTGGACAAGAGTTGCCTTGCAGGGGAGCTACACTGGGATAGCGCAAAAACGGTAGGTTTTTAGCTGCTAAAGTGGACGCGTAACATTTTCTGGCATAAGCAGAGCTCAAGATACTTTATTAAGTGTTTTCAGGCGTGAGCCGTGCGCCGAATTCTTGAAAATAGAAACCGAGAGTAATTTTGCACTGAGCAGGGATTAATGGGAGCGTGTCACGCTCCGCAAAAGTAAGGCCCTACGCGTCAAGTATAGCATGCATACTTCTTAGAAAAGATAAGTAATTTTCAAAACCAGCTGAACCGATAGGTGCATCTATTGCAAGAATAACAATCAGAGCAGGAATGGGGAGTACAAGAAACTGTAGATGGATGGTTTTAAGGGCTTAACATACTTTTATAATGTTACAGAGAGTGGTATTGAACACGGTCATGCTAGCGCCTAACCTGCAGTGATCATGGCTTTGAAGCAGGACTTCTGGTCAATGCGGGGCCAGATGATGTAGCGTGCCTTTGGTCTCTTGTGGCGAAGTGTTAGGAAGCACAGTGTCAGGCTCATCCCGGTTGCCATTGGAACTACGAAACAACTGGCCACACTTCGCACACCTGCAAACATACACAATAACAAACAAGCTAGGAACAAAAGTGTGCACATAGTGTAGCTCTACTACAGAACTGGAGGTATCCATCAGTGTCCTGCAGTTATCAGTAGGCTAAATCCAATCTTAGTTACACACCTGAGAGTTTTAAAATGTCCCGCACAACTGAATTAGTCAGCTTGTTCAGCAGACTGGAACCTGCAGCCTTGGGTTGAATCGCAGCGATGTCACCAGATGTATTAACCTGTATAAAGCAACACACACAGATCTCATGATCATGACTCCACTGAACATGTATGACAAAACAGATGGCTACTTGGAATTTAACAAAGCAATAGAAAATTCCTTTATTTTGAAAAGCAACTTTACAAGCAACAGTTTATAAGAACCTGTAATGTCGTCGGGCCACCAGACTAGAGGCCACTCTGCCCTCCCTCTCGCCAACACCACAGTTTCCCAAGAAGTTGTTGCTGTCCATCACAGCTAGTTCATTCAGGAAGAGTTATGTTGTGCTCTCGTTCCATCCCTCCTCAGGACATTTGCCCTTTAAGGTAGAGTAAGGATAGGCACTACAATAGCCAGTAGCTTCTGTCACGGCTCCTGAATTATGTAGGCTAAATAGAACTGTAAATACATTTGTAGTATCAATCTAAGTTATGGTTGATGTGCGCTCCATCTCCATTCACATCTTACATCATGGGGTGTAATAATTAGTTCAAACCCGTTGCAAACAGTTGCGATTTGCAACGAAAACGAGACAAATTCAGGTAGGTTCCTCCCCGTTTCGTTTGCTTCTGTTTGGTTCTGTTTGGTTCCTAGTGAATACACCCCTGATGTAGTTACTTGGCAAATGTGCATCTGATCTATTCATCTGATCGAATTAACAGAATTCGAAGGACTGTTATTCGGATATTACCTGTTCCGAAAGCTGTCTAATCAGTTGCTCATGACTGCGACGTGCCTGTGAACCCTGGCGAATGTAAGATGCCGACACAATCTTCTCACTTATGGAAAAGTTTTCACTATTCATCTCAACATTTGCTGTCAAAAAGATGAGAGTAGATTAGCATATGCAATTCTAGCCATAATAGTCAGTAGAAACGAACGTGTTCCTCACGAACCTGAAGTACAACCTGCTTCTAACGAGTGGTGTATTCAAGGCTAATGCCGAATCAAAGTGACGCTCAACTCAGTTTCTGCTAATCCTGATTTGGCTACTGGTTATTGTAGTATTTATCATTTTAAATCTGTTTTACCTTTGTAGCTATTTTCACGCTCACATTTTGAATTTTACTTCCGCGTTTTTGTTTTCTTCTGTGTTTATCAGCGGGTGGGAAGCCCAGAAACACAAAATAGCGCCTCCGGCTGGATGGAGTTCTACTACAGGGTACAAACCAGGGGAGAACGAATGCTGCCTCACGTTGAAGATCTGAGGTTCAAGGCCGACCGGTGTACTGCAGGCTGTTGTACAGTGCATTCGGAAAGTATTCAGACCATTTCTCTTTTTCCACATTTTGTTACGTTAGTCTTATTCTAAAATGAATTAAATAAATAAAAATTCCTCATCAATCCACACACAATACCCCATAATACCCCTTTTACTTGTGTGTGCAAAATTATAAAAAATTAAAAACAGAAATACCTTATTTACATAAGTATTCGAACCCTTTGCTATGAGACTCAAAATTGAGCTCAGGTGCATGCTGTTTCCATTGATCATCCTTGAGATGTTTCTACAACTTGATTGGAGTCCACCAGTGGTAATTTCAATTGATTGGACATGATTTGGAAAGGCACACACCTGTCTATATAAGGATCCACAATTGACAGTGCTTGTCAGAGCAAAAACCAAGCCATGAGGTCGAAGGAATTGTCCGTAGAGCTCCGAGACAGGATTGTGTCGAGGCACATATATGGGGAAGGGTACAAAAAAAATTCTGCAGCATTGAATGTCCCCAAGAACACAGTGCCTCCATCATTCCTAAATGGAAGAAGTTTGGAACCACCAAGACTCTTCCTAGAGCTGGTCGCCCGGCCAATCTGAGCAATCAGGGGAGAAGGGCCTTGGTCAGGGAGGTGACCAAGAACCCGATGGTAACTTTGACAGAGCTCTAGAGTTCCTCTGTGGAGATGGGAGAATCTTCCAGAGGGACAACCACCTCTGCAGAACTCCACCAATCAGACCTTAATGGTAGAGTGGCCAAACGGAAGCCACTCCTCAGTAAAAGGCAAATGACAGCCCGATTGGAGTTTGCCTAACGGCACCTAAAGGACTCCCAGACCATGAGAAACAAGATTCTCTGCCCTAATGAAATCAATATTGAACTTTTTGGCCTGAATGCCAAGCATCTCGTCTGGAGGAAACCTGGCACCATCCTTATGATCAAGCATGGTGGTGGCAGCATCATGCTGTGGTGATGTTTTTCAGCGGCAGGTACTGGGAGACTAGTCAGGATTGAGGGAAAGATGAACGGAGCAAAGTACAGAGAGATCCTTGATGAAAACCTGCTCCAGAGCGCTCAGGACCTCAGAATGGGGCGAAGGTTCACCTTCCAACAGGACAACGACCCTCAGCACGCAGCCAAGACAACACAGGAGTGGCTTCGGGCCAAATCTCTGAATGTCCTAGAGTGGCCCAGCCAGAGGCCGGACTTGAACCCGATCGAACATCTCTGGAGAGACCTGAAAATAACTGTGCAGTGACTCTCTCCATCCAACCTGACAGAGCTTGAGAGGATCTGCAGAAAATAATGGGTGATATTCACCAAATACAGGTGTGCCAAGCTTGTAGTGTCATACACAAGAAGACCCGAGGCTGTATTCGCTGCCAGAGGTGCTTCAACAAAGTACTGAGTAAAGGGTCTGAATACTTATGTAAAATGTGATATTTCCATTTTTATTTGTCATTATGGGGTATAAATTGATGAGAGAAAACCCAAATGTAATCAATTTTGAATAAGGCTGTAACGTAACATAATGTGGAAAAAGTCAAGGGGTCTGAATACTTTCCGAATGCACTGTATGTGTACATTTATTTTGCAACGCTCGCGTTAGGTCAGCATGTTAGTTATATTCCGCGACAACACTTCAGTAAGGTAGCATTGCCAGAGATACAGTATTAGCACAGAAAATTGCTAGCTAGCTTACGCTCAAGATAACGTTAGCAAGCTTCCGGATTTTGTAGTTTGTATATATTATGGATCAACATTACAGTGGCTTGCGAAAGTGTTCACCCCCCTTGGCATTTTTCCTATTTTGTTGCCTTACAACCTGGAAATAAAATGGATTTTTGGGGGGTTTGTATCATTTGATTAAACAACATGCCTACCACTTTGAAGATGCAAAATATATTTTTTTGTAAAACAAACAAGAAATAAGACAAAAAAACTGAACTTGAGCGTGCATAACTAATATGATTTTGTACGTTTGCCCACTGACAAAGAAATGATCAGTTTATAATTTTAATGGTAGGTTTATTTGAACAGTGAGACAACAAAAATCCAGAAAAACACATGTCAAAAATGTTATAAATTGATTTGCATTTTAATGAGGGAAATAAGGATTTGACACCCTCTCAATCAGAAAGATTTCTGGCTCCCAGGTGTCTTTTATACAGGTAACGAGCTGAGATTAGGAGCACACTCTTAAAGGGAGTGCTCCTAATCTCAGCTTGTTACCTGTATAAAAGACACCTGTCCACAGAAGCAATCAATCAATCAGATTCCAAACTCTCCACCATGGCCAAGACCAAAGAGCTCTCCAAGGATGTCAGGGACAAGATTGTAGACCTACACAAGGCTGGAATGGGCTACAAGGCTGGAATGGGCTACAAGACCATCGCTAAGCAGCTTGGTGAGAAGGTGACAACAGTTGGTGCGATTATTCGCAAATGGAAGAAACACAAAAGAACTGTCAATCTCCCTCAGCCTGGGGCTCCATGCAAGATCTCACCTCGTGGAGTTGCAATGATCATGAGAACGGTGAGGAATCAGCCCAGAACTACACGAGAGGATCTTGTCAATGATCTCAAGGCAGCTGGGACCATAGTCACCAAGAAAACAATTGGTAACACACTACGCCGTGAAGGACTGAAATCCTGCAGCGCCCGCAAGGTCCTCCTGCTCAAGAAAGCACATATACAGGCCCGTCTGAAGTTTGCCAATGAACATCTGAATGATTCAGAGGAGAACTGGGTGAAAGTGTTGTGGTCAGATGAGACCAAAATCGAGCTCTTTGGCATCAACTCAACTCGCCGTGTTTGGAGGAGGAGGAATGCTGCTTATGACCCCATGAACACCATCCCCACCATCAAACATGGAGGTGGAAACATTATGCTTTGGGGGTGTTTTTCTGCTAAGGGGACATGACAACTTCACCGCATCAAAGGGACGATGGACGGGGCCATGTACCGTCAAATCTTGGGTGAGAACCTCCTTCCCTCAGCCAGGGCTTTGAAAATGGGTCGTGGATGGGTATTCCAGCATGAGAATGACCCAAAACACCCGGCCAAGGCAACAAAGGAGTGGCTCAAGAAGAAGCACATTAAGGTCCTGGAGTGGCCTAGCCAGTCTCCAGACCTTAATCCCATAGAAGATCTGTGGAGGGAGCTGAAGGTCCGAGTTGCCAAACGTCAGCCTCGAAACCTTAATGACTTGGAGAAGATCTGCAAAGAGGAGTGGAACAAAATCCCTCCTGAGATGTGTGCAAAACTGGTGGCCAACTACAAGAAACGTCTGACCTCTGTGATTGCCAACAAGGGTTTTGCCACCAAGTACTAAGTCATGTTTTGCAGAGGGGTCAAATACTTATTTCCCTCATTAAAATGCAAATCAATTTATAACATTTTTGACATGCGTTTTCCTGGATTTTTTTGTTGTTATTCTGCCTCTCACTGTTCAAATAAACCTACCATTAAAATTATAGACTGATCGTGTCTTTGTCAGTGGGCAAATGTACAAAATCAGCAGGGAATCAAATACTTTTTACCCTCACTGTATGTCTCTATAAGCTTGGCACATCTAGCCACTGGGATTTTTGCCCATTCTTCAAAACTGCTCCAGCTCCTTCAAGTTGGATGGGTTCCGCTGGTGTACAGCAATCTTTAAGTCATACCACAGATTCTCAATTGGGTTCCAAGATATTTTAATGTTTCCCCTTAAACCACTCAAGTGTTCCTTTAGCAGTATGCTTATGGTCCTGCTGGAAGGTGAACCTCCGTCCATTTCTCAAATCTCTGGAAGACTGAAACAGGTTTCCCTCAAGAATTTCCCTGTATTTAGCGCCATCCATCATTCCTTCAATTCTGAACAGTTTCCCAGTCCCTGCCGATGAAAAACATCCCCACATCATGAAGCTGCCAGCACCATGCTTCACTGTAGGGATGGTGTTCTCGGGGTAATGAGAGGTGTTGGGTTTGCGCCAGACATAGCATTTTCCTTGATGGCCAAAAAGCTCAATTTTAGTCTTATCTGACCAGAG